CCACAGGGTTGGACCCTGAATCCTAGATCTAACTAGATCTGACTAGATCCGATAGTAATCTGGTGGCGAATCCGTCACGCGTCACGGTCGGTAAGCCTCCACCACAGGGTTGGACCCTGAATCCTAGATCTAACTAGATCTGACTAGATCCGATAGTAATCTGGTGGCGAATCCGTCACGCGTCACGGTCGGTAAGCCTCCACCACAGGGTTGGACCCTGAATCCTAGATCTAACTAGATCTGACTAGATCCGATAGTAATCTGGTGGCGAATCCGTCACGCGTCACGGTCGGTAAGCCTCCGCCACAGGGTTGGACCCTGAATCCTAGATCTAACTAGATCTGACTAGATCCGATAGTAATCTGGTGGCGAATCCGTCACGCGTCACGGTCGGTAAGCCTCCACCACAGGGTTGGACCCTGAATCCTAGATCTAACTAGATCTGACTAGATCCGATAGTAATCTGGTGGCGAATCCGTCACGCGTCACGGTCGGTAAGCCTCCACCACAGGGTTGGACCCTGAATCCTAGATCTAACTAGATCTGACTAGATCCGATAGTAATCTGGTGGCGAATCCGTCACGCGTCACGGTCGGTAAGCCTCCGCCACAGGGTTGGACCCTGAATCCTAGATCTAACTAGATCTGACTAGATCCGATAGTAATCTGGTGGCGAATCTGTCACGCGTCACGATCGGTAAGCCTCCGGTACAGGGTTGTAGTTATGCGAAGGGGCTGGGAGGGGGGTAGCGGGGAAAGCCTATCACTGAATGCACTAAAAGCAGGCTTCTCTCTGAATTTGACTCACTTTCCTCTCCACAGTATGAAGTTTGAGTGCCCCAACTGACAAGGAAACTGGCCCTGCTCTTATACGTTATCTTGCTCTGTCTCGGTGGAATACGCTGCTAAGCATCATTACCATTTTGTTTGCCGTCGCCCGTCAAAACTACGTTTCGGTAATCGACGTAGGGTCGATGCTATTCGGCTTTGCACCTTGTTGGACGTGCACGGCTTCGGAATTAAAGAGCCAGTTGGTTAATGTGCGCAACAATCGAAGGCTTCCAAAGAAACCCCCGGCTGGAAGCCACAAGACGGGGTGCAGGCTGCAACGCAGCACTCGCGTTAGGCATGCTCCACATGGCTCATGTTGTTTCTTGGTCATTGTCGTATGATTACCACTATCGGTTTATTCGGCTGGTGTCGATCGGCAGGTTTTCGTATCTGTTCCATGGAATATTCATGTCGGAGTTGAAGTTGCGTTCCAAAGAACTTTTAAACAGCTCTTTGGAACGTAAAAGGCTAATAACTTGGTCACGTTTTTGGTTTTTACATTTGCCCGGGTTTGCTTTCATTTTCCAATATGACATGACAAAATGACGCAACTTGCTGCAGTCCGTAGAGTAGAACTTGAACCATGGAATGGTGACAAATGCTCAGAAATTGAAAAAAACTTGACCAGTATCAGCAAGACAAAATAATCACATACTCAAAAACGTGCAGCATGCGCGAAAGCAGAAGATGTCCAAATGAATACGGTACGACCACGGCACTTTAAACGTGTAGCTTTCCCAGTCAACTGCACTCAACTGAACATTGCATCGCAATTTCAATTTTCTTCGTCCCTTTTTCCTGGCAAACAATGGGTAGAAATGCACTATGCGATTAGCATGCTATTGAGCTCCCAGCCCTGGCGGACAAACCTACTGTTTGGGAGCCATATGAAACATTGGGGGCCAGTAGTTCACCCAAAAGAAAACAAATCAACATCTGTGAAATAGCCTAGAAGAGTCCACGAGCCTGCAGGTCCTAGACCCCCCCCCCCCCCATATACTTTCGGGAGGCAGTCTCCTGGCGATGTCTCTTTCACACAAACTCCAAATCATCATCAGTAGCTTTAGCTGCACCGGTCATAAATTATGCTCGTAACAAGAAAATCCCAAAGGTGACATAAACTTCAGCATATTTTACTGCCATCGGCGTGATCAACGTTGATTACAAACTGCTGCAAAAGGTGAACTTCAAGGAATTTTGACAGTAGTTCAATGTTGTATATTGCACGGATCCCAAAACGACGCAGCAGCGACATAAGAAGCGAGGGGACATTTGCAGGAGGGAGCAAGGGCTCCTCCTGTATCAGCGTATCAGGCGCGTGGTCGGGCAGGTATGCGGTTATCCGGAGGTGTGTTTGAGTGCTCAGATCGCTGTTGTGAACAAATGAAACGTGTTTTAATACAACCCAAACATGGTAGTTACATTGACTTGTGAAACTTGTCAAAAGCAAGTGGTGAGCCAGTCGGGCCGCACGGTTGCGTCTTCGGCCGCGCGTTCCGTCTCCCCTAGCTTCTGGTCGTCCAGTTTGTTCCTGCTCCCCACATGCGTTAAATATACTCTACCAATAAGCATCAGAGCCATTGCAGCTGTGCAAAATGGCTTCAATCAGAGTCTGATTTTAGACATTTTCTGATTGTTCATCTCCGATTCACAGATGAATAAACACCATGCATGTACACTGTTTGCTGCTAGTATATACATATATGCATACCATACAGGGTGCCAGTAGCATACCAGGCTCACTGCCAGTTTAGGGAACCAGAAGTACTGAGTCTGATTCAACCACATGATGCCTTCCGTCATTGGAAGGGTGGGAGGTATACATCAGCATGAAGTCTGAGCTTTTGAATATGTCATGACTCAATGTCATCATCATGGCTTGCAGGATATGATATTACACCATGGTTTACATGGTTCACATATGTGAACACATTCTGAATGCTTAAAATTATTTAGGCAGTGCTTATGCACTCTCTGCTTTTCATGCCCCTAGATTAGTGTATTGGACATGTGTGTTTTGCATGTAAATGAATATGTATTTAATATGAATATATATTTTTCATTTGTATGAATAAGTATACTGAAGCATTTATGTATCGTAGGTTATCTGCTGTGCACACTGCAAAAATACATGTTGTGCTGACCTGCTGTTCTGCAGAAAAGTGGCCATAACAGCACCAGTTTCAGTGCATGTATACTTTGAATCCAGCACTCAATGCTTGTGCAGTCACAACCAGCTTCAGTGCTTAGAGGGTTGATGTTTCAAGGAATTGTGATATTACCAAAGTAATATCAGGCAACTACATTCCATAGTGAGTTTTCACACTACAGAGACATGGAATTTCAGCACAGTTGGTCCTGGCTTGAGTGTAGGACACACAAGCACAAGGTTCAGCATACTGATGCTGGATGTGTGTCTGTCTGGTGCTTTTGATAGGCTTTTTCTGGTTGTACTGTTGTGGAACAGTCCTCAAATTCCAAAGAAAAATGAGCACTGGCCATAATCTGTATGTGATTGTTTTGCAGAATTTGTAAGCACATTGAGTGAAGTGCTGTGAACCAGCATGCTACAATCTTGTGATTCTTACAGCTAAGATTTGCACCCCAGCCTGCATCTAGTCAAAACACTTCTGTCATTAGTGAAAAATCCACTGCCAGCTGCTTTTTTGCAACAAAGTGATGTCCTTGAACTTGGAGCCATCCCCGAAGACCGAGCGCGCGAGAAATGAGACGAAGATGGCTTGTACGGATGATCAGTTTGTGCCGAACCACACACATACTTCGGCAACACGTTCTGAAGAAGAAGGTCGGCATACAGCTCCTTTGCCTCCGAGTAGCGTACCCGACTCGTGCGAAGCTGCCCAGCTGCCTGAAGCAGGTCCTGCTGCTTACACCCCCGCCACCGCGGACGGAACCCAGCTGACAGCAGCGCTGCGAGTGCTGCTGGAGCCTCTGGGCTTCGAGTGCCACCCGCTGCTGGTGGGCTGGTACAACGTACAGGTGTCAGCGCGCTTCTGGCTGCCGCAGCCGCCAGACACGCTGGCCGTGGTCGTTATGAGTGCACCGGCCATGTTCGAGCGCTGCTTCGTACCACACCTGCGGCGCGCCGGCCGGCAGCCCGGCGCGCGCCGCGACCCGCTCGACTCGTGCATGCGCGCCGTGCTGCGGCGGCGGCGCGGCGCGTGCATGCGGCGGCGCGCGTGCTGCACGACTTCGACATGGCGCCAGGCCGGCGGCCGCGCGTGCTGGTGCAGACGGCTGGCCACGTAAGTGGTGCCGTGCACTTGTACCGGCGCGCTGAGCTCGCCGACGACCCGTGGCCGGCCGAGACCAGCGTCTGCGGGTGCTGCTTGCACCCTCGTTATGGCGGCTGGTTCGCGCTGCGCGCGCTGGTGGTGATGGAGGGAGTGGAGGCGCCAGCACATGCCCCGCAAGACGCCGCCGTAAGTCCACTTCTGCGGGGCGGTTCGATGCGCTAAATCCGCGCCGTTTTTTCGCGCGTTTTGTTCGGCCGCGCTGGTTCTGCTGGACATGACTGGTGGCGTCTTCGGAAGCTACCAGATCATGTCGCCTCCTGACGCGCTGCCTAATCGCTTGTGACCACCTAGCATGCTTGCTGTCGTGCCAGGCCGACTGCGTGCCGACCTCGGGTCAGCGCCGTCAAGACGCTGGCTGCAGAGCTGTCTGTCCAGAAGGGAGATCCTGTACTGGCGGGCCTCCCTCATGTCCCGGCGTGACTGGAGACGCCTCTGCTGCGGGCAGGTCCCGGCCATCCGCGCCTCTTCCTTCAGGGAGATCCTGACCGTCCATGGCTCCTCCTTCAGGGAGATCCTGACGACGGACGCGCAGAAGCGCGAACTGCTCGAGCTCTTCAACTGGCATTGGCGCGACTGGCGCTACCGCGACGTGGGCGGCGCGGCGCGCGAGCGCTACTCGCCGCTGCAGCGCGAGTACTTCGGCACGCCGCCGGGACAGCGCGATGCTCTGGTGGAGCGCCTGCTGACCGATCCCCGCCCGCCGGCGGACGATGGCGGCGGGGACGCGGCGCTACTGGACCTGCTGGACGCCTAGCCGGCGGCGCTGAGCGGTCTGTCGTCCCGCTCGGATGCCCCGGCGGCGGACGGGCGCGGCGCTGTGTTCGCTGCTCCGTGGTTATGGGACCGTGCCCGCCATCGGTGGGCGGTATGTGTGCTGTGGCGGGCGAGGGCCGTCGGTTAGGCTGTCTGTGGCTCGCCAGCGGATGAGCTGGCGTCGTCTAGTCTGGGTGACGAGGTAGCTGACGGCCTGTTGACGGCGTGCTGTCGCGTTGCCATGGTGATAAGGCGTGTGTGCAGCTGCGTGTCGCCGATATATGAAGAACGGAATGTTCGTAAAGTGACGCGGGTAATAAGTGCAATAGTTTGGTAAGTCAGTCTCCTGTTCTTGTGTGGGAGCGATGCAGGTGTCCGATGTTTTTTTATAAAGCGTGTTTTCGTACAGGCTTATATTTTCAGCCCTGAACTCTACTCATATTTGCGCGCAGCGGGTGGTTCTGAGCCTTTTCAGTTCTTTGCGCTGATGTCTTTGGTGGGTCTTCAGCAGTGTACGATATGCAAAATGGTTCAGCAAAGTACTTACTCCCCAATAGCGCCCTATGCAATACTTCAACTGGTCATTTGCGGCTTTCCGTCTGCTATTTGGATGCCAAATGACCAGCGTTCGGCGTCCTCTGAGGGCTTGATCATCATCATCGTTTTGGGCTGCCTGTTTGGCAAGCCGCGTGTTTTGTGCTCTTACGTCGTGGGTGCCAGCATCAGTGACGTAGTCCTGTCTCCGTAGATTGCAGGTCGTGTGATAGTGATAGTCGCCTGTGATGATATTGAACCGAGGTGGTGGAAGCTGCACCGTACTGCGTGCTATCCACCATGCTCACGCCCGCACAGGCACTTCGTGCTGTGGCTGTGGTCCACGGAATGGAATACAAGACCCAGATACTCTACTTGTTTCCGTTTGGTTTTCGTCATGGACACTAGCAGACTGTTTAAGCATGGACGCGGCCGACGAAGGCACGCGCGCCCTCGTCCGCGCCGCCACCAGCGTAGGTAGAGGAGGCAGGTGGCGCTAGTAGCGGCTCAGTGTGCGACTGTTCCCGTTTTCAGAGCCGTCGCGGGGGTGCCGCCACGTTTGCTGCTGCGGCTGTTGGAGGCGGCACCTGCCCACTGAGCCGACGTCTGGCGACCGTCGGAGTCCGAGCCGGGTGCCAGAAGTCGCAGCAGGACGAGGAACGGCAGCGCCCAGCCGCCGGGCACGCCTGGACTGGACGCGAGGCGGGGCTTCGACCAGTGACGTCATGTCTCGGCCGGCCGTATCGCCCTGTGACGTCACGTCAGACCCGGCCTCGCCTCGCGACGTCACACTCGACCGGGCTCCGGGAGTCGGTGGCATGACACCCGATCCAGCCTCATCGTCCAGTGACGTCACACTCGACCCGGCCTCATCGTCCAGTGACGTTACACTCGACCCGGCCTCATCGTCCGGTGACGTCAGACTCGATCCAGCCGCATCTTCTTGTGACGTTGCACTCGACCCGGCCTCGTCTGCCGGTGACGTCACGGGGTCCGACCCGGCGCCGTTCGTGGCGCCAGAAAGCTTCGCCGACGCGCTGGCGGCCGCGTGTTACGCGCAGCTGGCGCGGCTGGGGCGGCGCGGCCGGCCGGCGCCGCGCCACTGGACGCCGCTGGCCGGCGTGGCGCTCTCCGAGCCGCCGCACCGCGCCTGCCGCGTGGTGGCGCTGGGCACCGGCAGCAAGTGCCTGGGTGGCGGCCAGCGCTGCGCCGCCGGTCGCACCGTCTCCGACTCTCACGCCGAAGCTGTGGCGCGCCGCGCCTTCCAGCGCTTCCTGTTGGCCGAGCTGCGTCGCCTGTACGCCGGCGAGGAGTGCTGCCTGCGCCGCGTCGTCGCCGGCGGCGGCGCCGAGCTACGGGCCGGTGTGCGCGTACACTTCTTCGCCAGCCACACGCCTTGCGGCGACTGCTCCATCTTCCCTCGTGCGCCAGACGCCGATGCCGGACCGCCAGCGAAGCGGGCCCGCGTGGACGGCGACGCGCCAGACGCCCACCGGAAGGGCGCGGAGCCGGCCGACGGTGACGCGCCTGACATCTACCGGACGGGCGCGAAGCCGGTGGCCGGCGAGCGGGCCGACCCGCGCAAGCCTGGCGCCGGCTACCACGTGACGGGCGTGCTGCGCACCAAGCCGGGCCGCGGCGAGCCGACGCTCTCGATGTCGTGCAGTGACAAGCTGGCCAAGTGGCTGCTGGTGGGCGTGCAGGGCGCGCTGCTCAGCTGCCTGCTGCCGTGGCCGGTGCCGCTCAGCTCGGTGGTGATCGGCCGGTGTCCGTACAGCGCGGCGGCCATGCGCCGCGCGCTGGTGGAGCGGACGGCGCTGCGACTGGCGCCGCTGATCGCGCAGAGCCGGCTCGAGTTTGAGTTCGGCAAGGCGGCCGTGATGCATCGCGCTGGCGAGGAAAGCACTGATCGCCCCCGGCGGGAGGGGGAGGACGCGAACCGGGGCGTGGAGGAGGAGGGCAGCGCTTCCAGGGTTGTACCATCGCCCTGCAGCGTGGCCTGGAGCCTGGGCTGTTCGCGCGAGCTCGAGGTGTTTGCGGATGGCGTACGGCAGGGCGTCACGAAGAAGGCCCGCGGGACGGCGGCGGCGCGTGTCGCCATCTGTCGACGCGACATGATGCAGGAGTTTGTTCAACTGTTGAAAGATGTCGGTCCCGAACAGCTGCCGACCGAGATGCGCCTGTCAGTTGATGGAGTGGAACGCTTGTCTTACAAGCAGATGAAGGGTCTGGCCAAGTGTTACGGAGAGCGATGGCGACGGGTGAAGGAGGATATCTTCCCAAACTGGGTGGAGAAGCCTGTGCATTTAACGGACTTTACCTTGGCTGACAGCTAACGTGAACATAGAATACAAAGATCGATAGAGTGCAGTCTCCGCCACCCGCTGTTCTTTCCTCCTTCTTGCTTCACCCTGAATCCTCGCGACATCCCATTCGTCCGGGAAAGGCCACACGCACCTCCCGTTAGTATGCCCACGTGTCGCGTGGTGAAGTCCCATCGGAACGGCAAGCACGAACCCCAAATGGGGGTCCCCGTGCGGGGTTATTTTCGGCGAGTGGACGTAGTTGACGTAGTTGAATAGACGTAGGTGCGTGTAGTTTTGCCACGCTGTTATCTTTTTACTCTTGTCCATCCCATAGCCCGAAACTGCATGACTACCGAAAGGAGCCTCATCCAAAGAGCCAATCAGCATCTGTTGACGCCTCAAATGCACGATCCAAACCATGCTGTTTAGTTGCGTTAGGTCACAACCGGCATAAAATCGCTTAATTTTTGGGAAGCAATATTTTTGCTCGAAAGTAACCTGTGTTTGGCGGAGGTTTGATGCACACTGAACTCGCGGGATTTGGGAGAAGCGGACACCGGCACAGTTTTCACTTTCAATTGCACAGCACTTGGCGGCAGCAACGTATGCCCCGTTCCGCCGTGACAGTCCTGGAACGCAGACGCATGCACCACCAAGCGCCAGTTTCACATCTGCCGGCCTCCCCACGGACACGGACGCACGAGTAACCACCCCAAAACGGCGTTACAACCGTGCGTTGGTCAGCGCCCGGAAACGCAATGAGGGTGCTCGCCATCCGTCTGCCGATCACCCTGACAGCTCCTCTGTGGCTGCAGCTGCCAGTGCTGTCCTTCACTGGCCACCCTGGCAGCTCCCCTGTGGCCGCAGCTGCCAGTGCCGTACTTCACTGTCCACCCCGGCAGCTCCTCTGTGCCTGCAGTTGCCAGTGCTGTCCTTCACTGGCCACCCTGGCAGCTCCTCTGTGGCTGCAGCTGCCAGCGCTGTCCTTCACTGGCCACCCTGGCAGGTCCTCTGCGTCTGGAGGGCCGGTCCCGCCCCGCGCGCCACATCGCGTGCGGCACACCGGCCGATCAGCCGGCGGGCAGTCGGCTGTTCCCGTCGCGTGCGATCGGGCGCCGTCGGGCTGGTCCGAGGCGCCGGCGGGCCCGGTCCCCCGCTGCAGCCCCGTCCTCCAGCACTTAAGGTTGCACAGACAGAGCCCCGCCGAGAGTTCACGTACCGGGCCGACCATTTGGGCGCGATGGCCTATGCCAGGTGCGAGAACTGCCCGAACAGAAGACACAGTCACCTCTCCTAGACCTGGCCTTCTTTGGTTCTATGGCTAGCAGCCCCAACGCGCGTGGAATATGCGTCGAAGAAAGGCATGATGACGGCATTCGTGAGATCAGAGTCCTCTCGCCTTCTGCCACACGAGACGCTCGAATACATCCCGTCGGACGGACGTTTATTCAGCGAGAGGACCACGTGACGGCGAGGCTGTGACGCAGGCGGGGGAGACGCCTGCTGACGCCGTCCCCCTGCCCCGGGCGCCTGGGGCGTCCCGGTACTTCCCACCCGGCCGGGCGCCAGCAGCGCACGCCAACAGCCGGCGAGCGCGCCGTCTCTGCAGGCGCCAGCGGGGCCACCGGCCGCGGCCCGAGCGCCAGTCCGCTCTCGCGACGGTACAAAAGTACAAACGAGGAGAGGACCACGCCACGGCGGCCGGCGTTTGTACTACAGGCTCGCCCGCATCCCAACAGGTGGCAGGGCCACGGCGGCCGCCGCCGCGACGAGCTTTAAACGACTAGCGACGGTAAGTAGAGATGTGCATACGGAGGCGCGCTTTTCACACACTTCTATGGCATGATCGAAATCGGTAAGCATTGCACGTATGTTTGTTCCGCGAATACTCTGAGCGCGCTCCAGCCTCGACCGCGCGTGTCGCCCGAACCGCCGGCACAACAGGCAGATGTTGAACACATCCTCTCAGCGCTGAACACGCTCAGTCACAGCGTATGGACGGCTTGCAAAATACCGCAGCCATAAGGCAGTGGTTGCAGGTGCTGCTGGCAGGCGTCTGAGATCCCCGAGCGGAGCGTGCGGCACCCCACGAGCCTCGCTAACTCCCCACTACGTGCAATCCAGCTGCCCTGACTGTGGGCTATTCCCGTCGGAGAACGTCTCTGGCTAGGTTTCAGCTGGACGGACCATGACTAGGATGACTAGAATGACTAGAATGCAATCGAGTGAGAACAGTAGCAATCTGAAGAGTCTGACCCCCGGGCGGCTCACTCACTATCACCAAATGCGCTCCATCATGGCGTCACATTCGCTCCGCTGTCCCTCCCAACCAGCACAGATCGGCAGCGCTTCCGTCTTTGGCGGCGAGCCTGCGCGCTCCTTCGCGTGACGTCATCGCCCACCCCCGCCGCATCACTGTTGACCGCAGGCAGGCACTGACAGCAGCCTGACCACGGCGCCTGGACCTGCTGCCGGCAGGCTGGCGCTGGCGCCCGCCTACTCCGCCTGGCCGGCGGCGGCTCGCAGCGCCTGCAGCGCCTGCACACTGACGGTCACGTGACCGGCCGGCTCCCCGGCCAGCGAGCTGAGCGGCAGCCGACTCTCCTTCAGGTCACGGCCCGAGGTCAGCAGCTCGGGCAGGCTCAGGTGGGCGTGCCTGCCGGCCATGGGTCAGGTCAGGTCACGGCCCGAGGTCAGCAGCTCGGGCAGGCTCAGGTGGGCGTGCCTGCCGGCCATGGGTCAGGTCAGGCACGGCCCGAGGTCAGCAGCTCGGGCAGGCTCAGGTGGGCGTATCTGCCGGCCATGGGTCAGGTCAGGCACGGCCCGAGGTCAGCAGCTCGGGCAGGCTCAGGTGGGCGTGCCTGCCGGCCATGGGTCAGGTCAGGTCACGGCCCAAGGTCAGCAGCTCGGGCAGGCTCAGGCGGGCGTGCCTGCCGGCCATGGGTCAGGTCAGGTCACGGCCCAAGGTCAGCAGCTCGGGTAGGCTCAGGTGGGCGTACCTCCCGGTCACAAGTCCGGTCGGGTCACGACCCCCGTCAGCGGGTCAGGTCGGCTGAGATGGGCGTACCTGTGGTCACGGGCCTCAGGGCCAGACCAGGCCAGGCACGGCAGGCTTGTCACCCATGTTACACATCACGCAGCTCAGGCAGCGGCACACGAACGTATACACACGATGGCACACCCGGCCACAGATGATGATGATGATTGGAGTTTTACGGCTGACCACACATGAAACCCGGCCTCCGCCGGACCTTGACGAACGCTCAGGTCACCACGGCCTTTCCCAGCAGCAGCACCGCCGGCGACGCCTGCCGGCTCGGGCCGACCCAGGCGACGCCGGGCGCCTCGGCAGCGCCGGTGGCCAGCCTCACCCGACGTCGGTACACTCGGCGGACTCGTCGGCCGAGTCGGGCGGCTCGGCCACCACGGTGAAGGTGACGAGGCCGCCGTGGTCGGCGCCACGCCGCAGCTGGCGTGCCAGCAGACGGCGCCGCTCCCGGTGCTCCAGACCGCCCACCGTGATTACTGCCGGTGAGCGCCGCCGCCCGTCACACCCGGCCCGCCGGTGACGGCCAGCGGGCCGCGCGCCGGCAGCGTGCGTCATTGGATACAGTCCGTCGGACAAGCACCACGCTGCCGACCGCGCCGACCGCGGGCCGTTTACCGGCACGTCCGGCCGGTGTCCTCTCACCACACGAGGCAACACGAGTGAGGCAGCGCCCGGTGACAGTCACGACGGGCGTGGCGCGAGCAAGCAGTCCTAGAGACCGGCACCAAGGCCACCTGCGCCGGCGCCGCACGCAGCCGGCCGGCCGGCTCACCCTTCCGGAAGTTGAAGTGCAGCGGCTGGCTGGGCTCCCCGAGCGGCAGCGAGACCGGCGTCTCCAGCTGCTCGGCCGGCACGTCCAGGAAGCGGTACTCGACGAAGAGGCGCGGCCGCTCGCCAGCCTTCGGCTCCGGCAGCTCGGCGTCCGGTCGCAGCGTCACCGAGTGCACCGTGATGGTGACCGTGTCGGCGGCCGCCGGCTGCCGACAGGGACGGCGACGGTCAGCGGACAGCCCGAGGCACGGAGGCGAGGCCGCGACGAGCCGGCCACACACTGACGGCACCAACGCGCGCCGCTCCTGTCGTCAGTACGCTTCCCATCAATGCCTCTCGAGTTGCTCCCCGCCGCATACTCACCCTCCCCTTTCCGCACCTCCGCTGCTTTGGATGCCTCAGTCGTTAAGCGCATGTTCCTCAAGTGCGTCCCGCCCGTTTTCTCTTGCTCACCGCCCCTGTCCGACCATCCCTGACGAGCCGCTGGCCAGGCCGCTGCTCACCTGTGCGGCGTGCGTCCGGTGCAGCACCACGCCGTCGCTGTCGGTGCCAGTGCCGGTGCTGGGCGAGCTCTGCGCCGACAGCCGGCGGTGAACGTCAGCCGCGATTCGCAGAGGGCGCGGCTCGGCCGCCGCCGCCGGCGCCGCCCGCTCAGACCCGGCGTCCGTGCCGCCGTCCGACAGGCCGTCGGAGCCGGCGCCGCCGCCCCAGGCCGGCGCGCTGTGCACCTCGGCCGGCAGGGGCGGCGAGCGGCCGGCGGTCAGCGGCGAACGGCACGCCGGCGCCGCCGCCTCGTCTGACGTCGAGCCGGGCCCCTCCTCGCTGAGCGAGGAGCCGCCCACTGCGGCGCGCACCGGCTGAGTGTCAGCACGCGGGGGCGAGACAGGGTAGCCTAGGCACGGCACGGCACCACCGGCAGAGGGAGTGACACGCCAGCGAACGGTCTGCACTGGAAATACGGGGGTCTACAACGTACGTGTACATCACTGATACTATCTGGATATTTGGCCACTGCTTCTGCGAGCCCATACATCGCGCATTCCCAGCCCAGTGCACCTCGGCGTTGGGAGGCCCAAACCAAGCTCAGCCAAAAACGCCAAAGGCAGCCGCACCTCCGTCTTGCACCGCTTGGTCCTTCCCTCCGCTGTCTCACTCCACCGCCCCAGCCACTCACCCTGCACCTGATAGCCTTTGACCGGCGGCGGCGGCCGGTCGCCACCCGACATGACCGTCTTCTCGGGGCCCGCCGCCGCCTCCTGCTCCTCCACGCTGCTGGCGTCGCTGGCTGACGACTCCGTGTACGTGGCGTAGCCGGAGTGGCGCGGTGGCGGCGGCGGCGCCGTCTCGCCGCTTCGCTCCTGCTTGGCTGTCGGCCGCGGCCCGGAACGCACCCGCGCCGGCTCCACCACCCGCGCCCGCGGCGCCGGCTTCACGCCCTCGCCGTCCCGGCGCGGCAGCGGCGCGGCGGCGGGGCTCCGCCCCGGCGCCGCCCGGCGGGACGGCTCGGGCACGGCCCTCGGTCCGCTGTCCCCCCGCCGTCGCGCCGGCCGGCCCGTGGGCGTGACGGCAGCGGCGGGGGAGGAGGGCACGGCGTCGCCGCGGCCGCCGCGGGCCGGCGGCTGGCTGCGCGCGGCGGGCCGTGGTGGCGCGCGGCCCACGTCTGCCTCGCTGCGTACCCGGCCAGCCGGCAGACGGCGCGCCGGCCGCCGCTGTGGGGTGCGCTCCTGACTCAGTCGGCTCCGAGTCGGAGACGGCGCCCGGCGGCGACGTGTCGGCCGACGGGCGGCGACCCGAGCTGCTCGTGCCGGTGCCGCCGCCGGCGGCAGCAGCAGCGGCAGCGGCGGCGGCGGCGGTGGTGGGAGCGGAGGCGGGGGGCGCGCGCGCCGCCAGCCGCCGCCGCACCGGTGTGGAGACGGCGGCCGGGCCTCGGCCGGCCTTAGCCGCCGGCGCCGGCTCACAGATATCCGGGGAGCCGGCCACGATCGTCTGATCACCGGCGCCGTCCCCGCCGCGGCCGGCGTCACCGTCCTGCCGAACAGCCAGGTCGGCTCAGCTGGCAGTGAATAAGCACATCAAATGCAATAAGTTTGTACGCTTTTGCTGTGTTTGGCTTAAACTATGGGCCCTTTATTGATAAATAACGTCTCCAGGTGTCAGTTATGACACAAGCTTGCTATATTTGCAACTATTTGGAACAACTCCATAAAAATGCACAACGGTCCGTTCGTTGCAGCAAGGTCTGCCCTATTCACAGATCCAATCGTATCCCTCCTCTCCCCCAGGCAGGCTGTGATAACCAAGCCCGCCCTCTCCCGGGAGCCCACCGCCGCCGCCGCAGAGCTCCGGGCCCCTCCGAGCCGCGCCGGTGAGCGTACCATGCGACGAGCGTCGTCAGCCGGCGGCGCCCGCTGCAGGAACTCCTGGAGCGGACCGTCGGCGCGGAACCAGTACACCAGCGTGCCCAGGCCGGCCAGCTCGGCCGTGCCGTGCAGCCTGCGGCCGGGGCGAGGGCGGGGGGAGGTCACGCGGGACTCCGCCGCCGCCGGCAGCTCGAGACCGCGGCGGCACCGCGTCCCTCACCGACCACGCGCGCGGATACAGACAAGCTGAACCAGTGTGCGGCCGGCAGACAGCGCCCAAAGATCCTGTGACCACCCCTACTGCTTAACGTCACTGCGTGTGTGCCCGACAGGCCTCTTTGGACACGTTCACCAAGCAGAGCAGCTGCTATCCTGGATGATGTTAATTCTCCGCGGCTTGGTGACGATCAGACGCGAACGGTGCTCATGACAAGCTTTGAGAGGCACTTTACATTGCGAGAACGCTGCTGATACCTACATTTGAGCATTCACCAGTCACACACAAAGACGCGTCATAAGTAAGGCAAAGCGCGTGTGGTATGTTACATAGGGCAACAATACATATCCCGGGGCAGCTGGGGGGCGGAAGGCGTGAGCGCCACCCACCTGTTGCTGGGGTACTGGAGGATCTCTCGGCAGCTGAGGGCGGCCGTGCCCAGCTGGCGGCAGTCGGCCTCGCCTTCCGTGCGGTGCACCTCCAGCGTCACGTGCTCCTGCAGCACGGCACAGTCTCAGCGGCCGCCGGCTGGCGACCGGCCGGTGGCGCGCACACCGCCGCTGACACGGGCGCCTCGGCCAGACAGGGCGCCCCGTCTGGAAACGGGCATCTCGGCCGGACACGGGCGCATCGGCCATACACAGGCGTGCCGGCCGGACACGGGCGCCTCGGCTAGACAGGGCGCCCCGTCTGGAAAGGGGCGCCTCGGCCGGACACGGGCGCCTCGACCAGACACGGGGTGTCCCGGCCGCACACGGGCCCCTCGGCCGGACACGAGCGCCTCGACCGGACACGGGGGTGTCCCGGCCGGTCACCGGCGCCTCGGCCGGACACGGGCACCTCGGCCGGACACGGGCGTCCCAGCCGGACATGGGTGTCCCGGTCGGACATGCACGCCGTGACCAGCATCTCGACACGCTGCCGCACCGCCACAAACCCAGACAGGCTGACAAACGGAGGCGGCGCTGCGCTGAATGCGCCGCCCGGCGCCGTCAGCCATCGCCACTGTCCAGTGCCGCCACACCATGTCGCTCTACAGATCAATTCGTGGGAGAGGGGCGGGGGCCCCGCGAGCGGGCGGTCCAGCTGAGAGAACTATGAATCCGCCCGGAGCTACAGCGCGCAGAAAAGAACGCGGCACATGGGGCTGCCTGGCTGGATCCGGTGCGGGGTTCCCGGACGGCATACAGGGGCGTTGACCGCCCAGCCTGGCAGCCACCACCAGGACCGCTGCCGCCGCCGGACGGGGACGGGGAAGGGGAGGGGGCGGCTGCACTCGGCACACTCACGTTGGCCAGATACTGGATCAGGGCACGGTCCACGAACAGCTTGTATAGCGAAGAACAGTCGAAGTTCAGGTCTCCTCTCATCACAGGTGTGTAATGAATGTCCTGCGAATATACAACTTACTTTCAACAGTGCATCACGTTTATCTAAGTTGTAAACATGTGTATATTCATAGTTTGATGCTACATCACCTAAACCATTCAATACACCACCACATTAACCACTTTAATACTTGATTACTGGACACTTAATATCAAATCACGTTAATAGGCAACGCTGGTCGGCTCTAACACACCACCCTGATGTGTACAGACGAACGGTATCGCCTGAATTTTGAATGTAAAAACTGACTTAACGACACACGGATCTCCGCAATCCCTCCATGTGCAAAGGGAGGGTCACAAGGCCCGATGGAACTGCGTCACAGCACGGAATCTCAAGGCACGTAGTGCTTAACGCGACTCCCTCCAACCAACGCCATCGAACCCCCGGCGAACATTGAACCCCACTTTGCCACGTCTACATACACCGATCCAACAGGTGGCCTTTTGAACGAGTGCACTTACTTCAAAGCCACTTCCGACGCAAGATCTAGACACAACCACCTATAGGTATAACCAATAGACGTAACCATCTAGGCCGTGGGCGTAGGACCCCCAACCCCATCCCCAGAATCCTCCTGCCATGCCGGCATCCCAGCCTGAGATCCATACCACAAGCCCCCGGGAACAACGCGCGCCACCCGATGCCAACCCTCCCTCAAGCCCCAAGCCAGTCGCCCAGCTGTGCGTCCAGCACATCTGCAGCTGCAGGCCCCCTCCCTCCCACACCCCATGGATCTCGTCGCTGAGCGCCCCCCCCCCCATCCCCCTCTCAGCCCTCTATATTGCGCGCACCTGGTTGTAGAACATCCAGGTGAGGAAGACGCCAGCTTCTCCGAGCTGACGGCGCGCCTCAGCCGTCAGCGTCAGCAGCTGTACGTGCAGCTCGAACAGGCAGCAGCCCGGCTCCAGCTGCATGGAGGCGTCGAGCGCGGCCGGCCGCGGCGCGCCGCCGCCCGGCGTCCGGTACGCCACCTCCCGCAGCTGCCAGCACAGGAGGCGCCGGTCGGATGGTGGTCGGGAGAGGCTCGGGCGGTGGTCTGGAGAGGCTCGGGCGGTGGTCGGGGGAGGCTCGGGCGGTGGTCGGGAGTGGCTCGGGCGGTGGTCGGGAGAGGCTCGGGCGGTTGTCGGGAGAGGCTCGGGCGGTGGTCGGGAGAGGCTCGGGCGGTGGTCTGGAGAGGCTCGGGCGGTGGTCGGGGGAGGCTCGGGCTGTGGTCGGGAGAGGCTCGGGCGGTGGTCGGGAGAGGCTCGGGCGGTGGTCGGGAAAGGCTCGGGCGGTGGTCGGGGGGGGGGGGGGGGGGCTCGGGCGGTGGTCGGGAGAGGCTCGGGCGGTGGTCGGGAGAGGCTCGGCGGCGGTCGGCGTGGCTCGGGAGGGCGGCAGACGCGCACCCCAGACACGGATCATGGACCATGACAATGGCGACCATCAAGGTGGCGGCTACCCCCCTCCCCCTCCCCCAGCGTTGCCCCCGGGGAGGGCAACGCTGGGCTGGACAAAGCCCACCCGCCAACACGGCGTCTTTGTGTAGAACAGCAGCCGAACAGATTCCAAGACTTACGGTTTACTGGTGGCACTCCCATCGCTGACCCCCGTCCCCTCATAGCACTTCACATCGTGCGCATCTGGTGGTTTCACAGCCACCTCAGATGTCTCTTTTGCGCATGCTGATGTCAGATGTCACATGTCTGCTTTGCGAATGCTAATACCGTAGCTCAATACAATATGGCAAACAGATGACTCACCGAGCGCCTTAAATTATCGCCATCCTCTGAGCCTACGAAAAATTGCTTATTACTTCTGAGCCATGAAACTTTACATCGTAATGCTCCATGCTGCTTGCCACACACCAGCCTATAGACCCTCAAACCCGCCCACCCTCCCCTCAAACAATGACGCATCTCCGAACTCCGTGCAGTCCCCCACCGTCCCTGCCCCGTCCTCGACGTCCGACCACGGCGGCCGGGAGCGTGCGGTGGCCGTACCTTGTTCTCGAGCTGCAGGAGACGGCCGGTGCGTGCCTCCAGCGCCGCTCGCAGCTCGGCCTCGGTTTTGTCGCGCGCCCGGCCCAGCTCGGTCAGCCGGCGCGACAGCAGAGACACCTGCCGGACGGCGGGGGAAGGTCGGCGGAGCCGGACCGGGCCGGAGCACCGCCGGTGACCGGCGACACAGCACGGACGCACAGGGGCAGCGCCTGCATGACGGCTTCATACGGAGACACGTCTACATCAGCCTTGCGTCCGTCCAAATAAATGCCGCAAAAATACGAATAGAACACAGTATTGGCAATCCGTCAGCATGGTTCGTGCATCACTCGTGCAGGCGTACAGGTCGCAACCTGATATTTAGTTTCACAAAGCAGATTTTGCATAAGTTGTTCAGTTCATTAGCGAGGAACATGATTCACATAGATAAAACAGTAGTAATCTCCAGGTCTCTGTCTTCAGGTCGACGGCACTCACCAGGCGCACTTACTGATGTAACGCTACTTAACGACTGCGTTGTAACGTTACTGTGGTCCGTCTCGCTCGATTAGAACCGCGCAGAAGGGCAAACTTTCAAATGAATGGAGTATTTACAGAAAAGCGAACAGGACCCTTGGGTAACTGATCCACAAGATCCAGGAGCGGCATAAAGACCGAGGTCAACTATGCACCGCACGTCGTCACCGCGCAAAACTCTGCCCGGCGTCTGACCTGCTGCTGCTCGACTGTGCTGGCCTGCTTCCGAATCGACCTGCTGCTGGGCGGTGTTGACCTGTTTCTACACTGACCTCCTGCTGCTGGGCGGTGTTGACCTGTTTCTGCACGTCCAGCAGGGTGCGTGTCTTCTCCAGCTCCTGGACCGTCTCCACGTACTGGCAGTGGAGTGCCGCCAGCTGTTTGGCCACCGACTCGCCGGTGTCGATCTACGGTCAGAGCGGCCCGGCACGGGTCACAGGTCGACCGATGCTGACCGCCCTCTGCCCCCTCTCCCCTCCCCTCCCCTCTCACACAACCAGCCGAACCGACCGTCCTCATCCTCCACATGCCTCCCAAGCACCAGCAGTTTTTACCACTCCTCGAAAGCCACGCGTCGCTCCCAGGCCCCACACTTCACACGGCACACAGCACCGCCACCTGACCCGCGATCCTGCGCCCTCGCTGGCTCGGTGCGCGTCGCCCCCAGGCCCCACACTTCACACGGCACACAACACCGCCACCTGACCCGCGATCCTGCGCCCTCGCTGGCTCGGTGCGCGTCGCTCCCAGGCCCCACACTTCACACGACACACAACACCGCCGCCTGACCTGCGGTCTCGCGCCCTCGCTGGCTCGGTGCGCACCGCTCCCAGACCCCGCGCTTCACACGACACACAACACCGCCGCCTGACCCGCGGTCTCGCGCCCTCGCTGGCCCGGTGCGCGTCGCTCCCAGACCCCGCGCTTCACACGACACACAACAGCGCCACCTGACCCGCGGTCTCGCGCCCTCGCTGGCCCGGTGCGCGTCGCAGCCCAGGCCGCAACGCTCAGCCCGGCGTCTGCTGCTGCAGGGGACAGAAGCCGTCGGCCGGCCACTGACCTTGCTCAGCAGCTCGGAGGTGGGCGTGTCGGGCGGGCGGCGCGGCGTCGGCGGGCCGCCCTCGGCCGGCGCGGCCGGCTCCGGCAGCGGCGAGGTGCAGACCGCCTGCGGGCACACGGGCCGGTCACCGCCGGCGCTCGCTCGCCGCCGGCCAGCGCCCGTCCACGGCCTACAGCCGGCGGCGCGCCGGACAACACTCACAGCCGACACGGAAACAGCCGTCTTGAGCCGGAGACATGAAGCAGTGGTAAGCTTGTGACCAACGAACATCAGCGGCCAGCGCCTATGAAAAGTATCACACAATGAGCACTGAAGTCTTCGACTATGAAACGCCTTTGTCACCTTATTCGTCCTAATGTTCACCCTATCAAGATCATCGTCTAATCACCCTCCGTACACAGAGTACCCTCGGCTGCACACGCGACCGCTCGCCGCCGGACCGAGACGGGAGCCCGGTGGCGGCGGCAGCGCCACCCGCCCTGACCTTCTCCTGAGTGCGAGGCTTGGGGCGAGGCCGCTCCACCACCACAGCCGGCGGCGGCGGCGGCGGCGGCGCCACCAGCGCCACCTGCCGCAGCGCCAGCTGGCTCTGCAGGTCACGAGCTTCGGCCTGCAGCCGCCAGGATCGCTGCTGCTCGGCCGTCAGCTGGTCGGCCAGCTGGCGGCCGCGAGCCTGCTCGCCGCGCAGGCTGGACTCGACGCTGGCCAGCTGACGACGGAGGGCGCAGCGGTCAGGTCAGGTCAAGTCAGGTCAGGCCAGATCAGATCAGGTCAGGCCAGATCAGGTCGATGGCCGGCCGCTGCACCAGGGCTGATGGACGAACCGACGGGATAAACGGAGGGAGAAAAGCATGGGGACAGTGACCCATGAGGAGGACTAACAGACGCATACTGGCTGCGGGGTTGATGGCAGGATTCAGTGGAGCAATAGACACTCACCTAGCAACGGCCTGCTTTTGCTTGATGGGAAACAGAAGCTAGTAAGTCTCACAGGAAAGACTTGAAGCTAGTGCAGTGACGACAAATCGCTTCCTCGACCCGCAACAAGAACACAGGTTACACAAGCTCGGACACACGGCCACCTGAGCCCGCAGCCAGACCAAAAACAGTCACCTGAGCCCGCAGTGATGACAGCGTGGCCTGCTGCTCCCGCTGCCACTCCTGGTCGCTGCCGATCTCGGACAGCTTCTCATTCGCCGAGCGCAGCAGCTCGTTCTCACGCTGCGTCGGCGCCGCGGAGACGGGGGGGGGGGGGGGGGGGGGACGAGGGTCAATTAGCCACCCCAGCCGAGACAAGCCCCGTGTATGACGACCGCGGGCCGCAGTTGCCATGGACCCGGATCATCCGGCCCGCTGACAGGCGACACCGAATGGAGCCGTCACCGCACCGCAGCGGCCCGCAACGAACGTGGGCAGCGCTGGCGGCGTCAGGGATGCCACGACAGCCTCGCCGCGTCGATAACGCCGGCACCGCGATCAGCGCGCCGACACACCGCCTGACACCGGCGGCAGCACAAGCCCGACGCCAGCCGACGCCAGCCGCCGCCTCGGTGAACTCTCAGCGGCCGGACTCTGAACGGGCCGACTCTGAGCAGTTGGACCGCTAGCTGGCGGTGTTACCTGAGCGTCGCGCAGGGACGCCTCGAGCTCGTCCGCACGCTGGCGCGCCTGGCCGGCGGCGGCCGCCTCCTTCTGCAGCTGCTCGCTTCGCCTTTGCTCCTCCTCGTGCAGCCGGGTCAGCTCAGCTGCACGGCCAGGTCAGGTCAGGTCAGGTCAGCTGGGGTCGAGTTAAGTGAGGTCTGCTTAGGTCAAGTATGGTCCAATTACCTCGGCGGTGTCTTTTCAGACCAGGTCAGGTCAGCAGACCAGGTCGACATGTGGGATCAAGTCGGGTCAGGTCAGTGGTCAAGTTGAGTCATATCAGGTCGGCTCAGATCAGGTTAGGTTGCGTTACAGACCGGCTCCAGCAGAATCAAATTCGGTTCGGTAAGACTGAACCATTTGAGATCAGACGGCGCTGAATTCGATCACGTGATGCCAGTTCAGCACAGGTGATGCTGGGTCCGGACGCCACAGGCCAGGGGTCAGGGCTTAGGCAGGCCGGGCCGGCTCGGATCAGGTCAGGTCAGGTTCAGCCAGAGGTCACTGGTCCGCCTCAGACTGGGCCTGTGAGAGTTCTATGGGGCCATAACTCACAGCACGCCGGCATAGGACGGCGAACCCGGGTCCCCCACTATGGCCACTGGCTGGTGGGCTTCAGAAACGGTACCACCAGCCGTTTCGCTGCTAGATCTGCTAGGATCGGCATTTAAATCGGTATTGGTTTAAAAATGCATGCAATACAAGGGACGACACGTTCGCTACGGGGATCAAAGTTTCCAAACACCCTAGCAGCCATGCACCACACGTATACCCGTCCAGATACGACACCAGCTGGGGGTCTGCATAGAATCCAAAGAATTCACAGCATGTGGTTCTTCTGGACCAGATCAGAAATACAGCCAGGTCCAAAACCGGATGGCAGTCCCAAAAATGCCTCAGGGCATAAAAGTCAGCAACCGGGCCGAGATGGTTTTCACCTGCTTTATCCCCCCTTCCCCTTCCCCCCCCCCCCCCCCCCCCCAGAACTCATATCGTTTGTCACGCTACGGCACCGAGCTCCGAGGCTGAGACCACAGCGCTAAGATGTCGCTTGGAGATCGTGGTATTCGCTTCCTCGCGACACATCTTTGCTTCATTATATACTTGTTTTATTCACACTATATAAAATATACTATGTATTTAATGTATCAACGATACCTTGCGTATACTATTGATATGCGTTTTTGCTACCGCAATGCAACAATCAATTATGCCGGCGAAAGCGATACAATCTGTTACCTTCTCGACAACCACACGAAATTGGACGTCACGCCTGTGCCACGGCTCAACACACCAGAAAACGCATCGGCAGCCCCTCCGCGTGCCGTCGCGGCTTGTAGGTGGGCCTCTCACCGGCCTCAGCACCACGACTTACCGATCTCACGGGCGGCAGGCCTCTCACCAGCCTCAGCACCGCGACTCACCGATCTCCCGGGCGGCGGGCCTCTCACCGGCCTCAGCATCGCGACTCACCGATCTCACGGGCGGCAGGCCTCTCACCGGCCTCAGCACCGCGACTCGCCGATCTCCCGGACGGCGGGCATCTCGCAGGCCTCAGCGTCGCGACTCACCGATCTCCCGGACGGCGGGCCTCTCACCGGCCTCAGCGTCGCGACTCACCGATCTCCTGGGCGGCAGACCTCTCATCGGCCTCAGCACCGCGACTCACCGATCTCCCGGGCGGCAGGCCTCTCACCGGCCTCAGCACCGCGACTCACCGATCTCTCGGGCGGCGCGCTCGTAGGCGGGCCTCTCGGTGCGCAGCGTCTCCTCCAGCGACTGTGTGTGCGCCTGCAAGGCCGTCAGCCGACTGGCCGTCTGCTTCAGCTCCCGCTGCAGCTTGATCATCTCCACGTTCTCGGCCAGCTTGGAGCGGTTGGCTGTGGGGCAGGGCGGGCGTGGCGGAAGCGCGCGGAATACAAACGGGACGGGGCGCGCCAGCTGGGTGTGGCTCGTGGGATGCAGCCGAGGAGTGGATGTGTGAGGTACATATCACATCAGCAGGGTGAGCCGCAGCAACCGAAGAGGGAATGTGTGGGGTACAGACCACACCAGCGGGGCGGGCCGCAGCAGCCGAGGAGTGGATGTGTGAGGTACAGATCACACCAGCGGGGCGGGCCGCAGCAGCCGAGGATTGGATGTGTGGGGTACAGACCACACTAGCGGGGCAGGCCGCAGCAGCCGAGGAGTGGATGTGTGAGGTACAGATCACACCAGCGGGGCGGGCCGCAGCAGCCGAGGAGGGAATGTATGAGGTACAGACCACACCAGCGGGGCGGGCCGCAGCAGCCGAGGAGTGGATGTGTGAGGTACAGACCACACCAGCGGGGCGGGCCGCAGCAGCCGAGGAGTGGATGTGTGGGGTACAGACCACACTAGCGGGACAGGCCGCAGCAGCCAGGCGGCTGAGGTGAGTCGTAACAGCAGCACAACCATGTCACGGTCGCTGCTCCCTAACGCTCATCCGGTGCATGACGCATCAGAGTCGGCTCGCTCCGACGACGTCAATGATTTTTACTGCGCTAAACGCGTGTCAACAGATGATGTGGAGCCGAAATGCAACCGAAGTGGCTCGGTGTGCTCGTGCATTCCTCACTAACCGTGGTTGGCCTGGTTCCTCAGCACCTCCACCTCCTCCTCATGCTCCAGCTCCTTCACGCGACTCTGCTCCTTCAGCATCTCCAGCTCCTGAGCAGCACAAGAGCGTACTGAGCCCCGGCCCTCCGCGCCCAGCCAACCGGCAAATCCAGCCAGCAAAACACTGCTGGCGTACGTGAGCTGTGTTATCGCCATACCCCTGCTTAGATGATTGACCTGAAGACATAATGTACATAGCATGGAAAGTTGGCTACCTTGTTGCCTCATTATAGGCTTACCTTGCCTCGTAGCATTCGGTCCCCTCCCATGCTTAAGGAGACCCCTTGTGGTGCTGTTAACTCAGTAGACTGGATGAAATCAACAGCACCTCCATACAGACACACACGCTTCCACTCGCCTCAGAGAGCGTGCGCATCCAACGTCATCCACACGGAGACGGCCGCGTAGAACTTCCCCGGCTGCCACCGACGACTGCGACGTCGGGCCCGCCGATCGAGCTGACATCTGTCGGCGTCTGGGCGCACTCGAAGTCTCGGCAGCCGCCGTGGCGGCCGCGCCCGCCACCCACCTGCTCGTACATGTTGCACTGCTCGCGGAGCGTGGAGAACGTCTCGTCAAGCTGTCGGTTGCGGTCGGCGAGCGCGGCGGACTGCTGCTGCAGGTGCGCGGCCGTCTGGCGCGCCTCCACCAGCAGCTGCTCGGCGTACGGCGGCAGCTGCGGCTCAGCAGCGGTTGGCTGCCGCTTCTGCGAGCTGCCGGCCGGCCGGAGAGTCAGCGGTCACAGCCGAGGCAAGGATCACCGTCCACTCGCCATCAGGCCGACGGGCTCCCCCGTCTGCAATCATCTGACTAACGAGCATGCAATCATCTGCGGCAGTGTCATGCACAATGCAAGGTGGGGATCTGATGTTTTGCATCCCTTACCCTCTCCCCCACCCCTCCAAAAAAAAAAATGGAATACTGGACCAATAACACAGTCATCTAAAGAACACTTTACACATGAAGTAGGTAAGCCCAGATGGTTCTGATCAAGACAGACTAGACCCAGCAAGCCGCGTAGATCCGTTGGTTGGCTGAACGGGCCCGGCGGCGCTCACCTGGTCTTGGAGCTGGGCCGGGAGGAGGGCCGTCGCGGCGGCTCCGGTTTGGCCGAGAGGCCACGGCCCGGCCGGCCCTGGCTGGTGTTCACCTGCTGGCGCGCCACCAGCAGCTTGTCCTGCGGCCGCGTCAGACGTACGCCACGTCACGAACGGCGCGTGACACCGCCGCAGCTGCGTCACACACTCGTCATGCCACGGACACGGTGACGCATCGCCGCGCGCACGTCACGTCACACGGGTGTGTGACGTGACGTCACAGTGGCACAGCACAAACGTCACAGCGACATCAGCTGCGTGTTGTCGGTAAAATCCAGACGTCTCGCTGCGGGAACAATACGGAAAACAAACAGTAATGGGCAAGCGGAACACGACAAACAGCAACAGGCGAGCGGGTCTGGCCCCTTCACATCTCCGTCACACGCACGAGCCGTACATGCCGAACCGGAAGGGAACCGGGTCGACCCAGATGCTGGGAGAAAGCTTGAGCTGCGCTCCCGAGATCCGTGACCTGACCTTTAGCCGCTTCCCCTCCCCAGGATCCGTGGCCTGACCCTGAGCGGCGCCACGGCCATCCGTGACCTGACCTTGAGCTGAGCCACCTGGCGCTCCATCTGGCTGATCTGGTCCTGCTGCGACTGGATCAGCTCGGCCGTCTCCGGGTCTCGCTGGCGGGCCGGCGCCTCGCCCCGCTTCTTGCGGTCCTGCACCAGACGCAGCAGCTTGGTGGCCAGCCTGGTGCACGCAGCGACGAGGTTAGACACGCACGCGCGCACCGAGCTGCGGGTCGGTCGGCTCGTCGTGACATGTGACGTCAGGCGGGCAGTGATGACGTCACATGCGAGCCATCACGCCAGTCTTACATCAGGTGGGATAGTGGTAATGGTGGATGCAGGCATCGCATGTTCACATTAGGGCGGTCTGCTCCATGCAGGTGGGCAAATTTCGCCGACCAGCCATTAAAAACGACTAAAAAAATGAATCAGCCCAAGTCCCACACACGATTTTCTCATGGCCAGGAAAGCAGAATATTGTGGCCTGGTTCCATACATAAAACAATAATGTCTGTGACCTCACAAAAAATGTGGCGATGTTGCTTGGCAGAAGGTGCGTGACAAAATACCCTATCTTAGCACTGAAGGCAAGACAAAAAATTAATTAATAAAGGACAGTGCCTAAAAATAACAAAACACTAGCAAAAAAGCCTCATTATCAATCACATCTCATTCATAGAAAACAATCCAAAAGGATGGTTGGGGCTTTCCTTTTGATCTTGTCCTCCTGTTTGTGGCAATGCTTCTTGAGGATGTGGTTCTCCTCCAGGAGGCGGAGGTGTCTGTCCTCTAGCTCCTCACGGGACAGCTTGTTGATCCCCGCCCGCTCCTGCACCAGCAGCGACTCTGGCGGCCGACGTACACCAGTACACTGACCATGGCATAACACAACTAATACCCTTCTTGCCCTCCAGAGCTCAGGCTAGCAAAACCTAACAAATTGTTGTGTGGATGAGGAGCCCCTAATGTGCTTTTGTACTCATGTGTGCCATACTAATACCCATAAGTGCCATTTATGCTAGAGCCTATCTGATGAAGCTTTCCAGGAGCTGTGAACCATTTTCTGCATTATTGTTGCACTCAGAGTTTTGGGGATAGCAGGAGAGGTCTATACAGGGCTCATTTAACACCATCTGTTTTGGGTCACTGCATGGCATGGTCTCATATGTATGAGCTTGTTAAGTGGTTGCAAACAATCTAAGGTCATTTTTTGCCAACTTAAATTTTTGTCTTAGTTCAGAAATGATGGGGCAGCATAGCCCTATCCCCACAGTCAGTCTGTGTTATGGAGAATAGTAAATAGGGGTGAGGGTTAAGAGGTTAAACTTCTTACCTTTTTCATGGAACATGCTTCTGCTGTGTTTCTCTTTTTCATTCATGTCTTTCACTGGTATCATATCACTCTCATCACCATCCATGACAAAGCAATTTATTTGCTTAGGACATGAACACTGCTGGTTCCTCAGTCAATGTGAGATCCATTTCATCTCAGATTTATTATGCAAATCCCTGTGAAATAGAGGATTGCATTAGATTCAATTAAGAACAACAGTCATACCAAACAGCAACATTTATTCTACTTTTGCACACAAGGCCTATCAGTTCTTTCTTAGCATAACAAAGCTATGTTGTCCCCGAATGTGCTCATAACTGTTTTTATCAATAGCTATTATTCAATTTCTGTTGCTTGCTGCTTATCTTATTAAATTCAACAAGAGGTGTGAGGTAAAAGCACAAGATTTGCCATGCTTCTCTTCCATTTCCAGGGTTAGTTTACAAATTAGCCCCCTGTGGTGCAATGTAAAAATGAGCCAAAGCTACTTTTTAAAGCTTTGCCAAAAAGGCAAATATTTCTCTTTGGTTCATTTCACCTTCCTGACTTCACTTTTTTATGGCATGAACATGGATGTCGTAGGAGGCACCAGAGCTAGGGGCAATGCAGAATTTTGCAATGTAGGGGCTGGTGGCAATGGAAATGTCAATGAAGTGGAACAATAAGCATGATTTTTTTGTGGCCCTTTTCATGCGACACCAAAATAAAGGTAATTTTGAATGCTTTCTTGATTGGAGGGCTACCCCCACCCTTTCCTTACCTTATCTGCCATCCATCAATGGTGTAACTCAAATTTGTCATTAATGTTACCACACCACAGAAGCACATGCTTTATTGTATGAAGTATTACAACATAACACATTTCAGTCTATTTGATTTGTTTAACTGGCATTTCAATCCAAACATGTGAGTACCAAAATGCATGGCACATTAAGTACGTTAGAATTCCCAAAAGACTGAGAAAAGATGACAACATTGTAATCATATTCAAGGATAGAGTAAACAATGTTGTCATAATCTCCAAGGATCACTCCTGTATGTGCTCCCAGTGCCCATCTTCTTTAACATCTTATACAGAGGTCACAATGAAGCTCATATCCAGTCAAAGATGATGTGTCTAGGCCTGAACCCTGGTGCCTCACCTTGGCAGTAAGCCTGGGATCTTTTCCTTTGCCCTTATTTCCGCACACATTTTCCATGGACTATGAGGCACTTGCACACTAGCCAATGATACGTTGCAGACCATCATGCGCCTGCATCAAAAAGTACTACAATACTCCGCTATTTACGCAAATGAGGACCCCTCACAATGCGGCCGGCCGACAAACCCATCGCGGATCACAGCAGGAACAAACCAAAACAAATATTTTAGGGATGGACAAGAAGGTTAGCTGGTCTTGTAATAAATAGAGTATCATGGCTTGATGTTTATAACCTTCATCAGTTTTGTTCGTCAGTGCGCTAAATGAGCCGTAGATTATTTTCCACACGAAAATGAATCCGTCACTCTTTGTTCTTGCAACTAATATAATGCTACAACATAGGTTTACATATCGATAAACCGATAGCTTGATCAAAAGAGAAGCTCTATTACGAAATCGGCGCAGAGTTCTCACACCTGACGCGTTACCAAACAGCGGCAGGCGTTGGCTGTGTCGTGGGGCTGAGGTGTATCGGACGGTGAATTATTACTCTGCAGTCCATTCAACCTGAAAGGTCTGTACAACGGTTTGATTCGTGGGTTTGATTGCGTACACTTATTTTCTTTTTTGGCCATAGATGATTTGAAAGATACGTCTTAGCTTTGCCCAACTTGACCTCTAGGACATAGGTTGGTCGCTTGTTAAAATGTGTTGGGAGCGGTGGTTGAATGGTTAGAGCATTCGACTCTGGACACGCCGGTCTTGGGCTCGAGCCCCTACCACACGCTACTGTATTCCATATTGCACCTGGTAAAGATAACTGTTTTGAGATGGCCTGTGCAGTTGAGGAAATGAAGCCCAGTTATGAAAATGTTGATTAAAAATGTGTTGTGTGATAGGAATTCAATTTCGTTTAAAACTTTTGGATGGAAGATGATGCATAACCTTCATTGCTAACTTAATAGGTTTATTTTTCCATGAGCATAAGTTATGTGGCTGGCTTCCACAAAGTGTTATTGAGGTTGTTTATGTTTATTTTAATGTGGTCTGCACTCCCTCTTTTCATTGGTAGGTTTGCACTTCAAAATTTGGTTCTTAGATGCATCAATTTCACTGCTTAACAAAATTCAGTATCACATGTCCAAGTTGGTAATGATAATTGATAGTCATTGTTGTCATCATAGCATCATGCTGCCCACATGGCTAGAATCACTGTCAGTAATAACCCAGCTTACTGTTTCTTTAAAAGAAAAGAGCTAAAAACATAACTGGGAATTTGTCAAGACCAGCTCTTGATTACACTGCTAAAGGGTCAAGTCCACAATTGCTTGACCCAGAGGTACAGGGTTTGGTACCCTTTGGTGCCCACCTATCCTGCTAGGGTGAGAGGCAGTACATATTATATATGGAAAGATCAAAGTGTGCATTTCAAAAGCCAATTAGGAATATGGTTTTATGTGTTCTAACACCCACAAGAGCTTCACAAGCATCTGGTGCAGTTCATTGGGAGTAATATGTTACTAAAATATTTACATTCTTACATGCCTTGGCCACAGTTGATAACATCTTCATGCATTCTCATCATGTTCCAGTAATAATTAACAATAGATTAAGTCATTATATGTGGGTTTTGGGGATTGAAATTATGAGGTCTTGCCTTGCTTGATGTGAGATGTTGCCATCAGTGATTAAGTGTTTCCAGAGTGGTGGCCAATTGCTGTGTACATTAGAATGTGCTGCAATGGCACCATATGCCGAGAATAACCCTCAAAGCAAAAGCTGTTAAACCATTTTGATCATGCCAGGGGCAGGGGGCAGATGGATAATGGCATTCTCCTTAAAGGACACTGAGGGTAGACACAACTTACACTTAGAACTTTGTGTAGTGATCCCAGCATTCATTTTCCATCTGCTCTCACCCAGAACTATCAAAAAAGCATGCCAGTACATTCCCACCCTAAGCTGACACCATTAGGATGTACCTGACCCATGCCTTTGACTATTTTCTGACCCATAGGCTATCAGAGCCAATGTTGATGCTGGAACTTGAAAATTTGAAGCATCAGGCAAGGTTTATGTAAAACAACAGATGTCATTTAGATGGAGAGTAGGCTTCACAACTACATGAGTGTGTAGTAAAAAAAGACCTTCTCTATTCTCTAAGCCATTTCATTAGTTTTTGTAGTTTTTTAGACTTAAACATATGCTGTCAGCCACTGTTCCCAACATTTTGCATATTTATGGTAGCTGCTGCTTCCATGTTAGCTATGTGTCACTTGGGTGAAGTGTCCAAGGATGAATGTGACAATATGTATTCCAGTCCCAGGCAATGTTGCATTGCTTCTTGCTCTGCAGACTGGTTTCAGTGATTATTCTGCTGTCACCCAGCTTGTGCACAGGCTTAACTCCACATCTCAGTTCCATCCCTCTGGTGGCATTCAGCAGCAGCTTGTGTCACTTCAGTCTGGCTGGGGCCTCAGACTCCTGCTGAGCCCACAGGCCAGCCGGCCGGAGCCTCAGACTCGTGCTGAGCCCGCGGAGCGGCCGGTCGGCGCCCTCCCCTCCAGCAGCGAGGACGGTGTGCTGACGGTTGACGCTGTCCGCAGCCGGCACCATGTCGTCGCGCCGTGCCGCTACCCGGCGGGGGGTCACCAAGAAGCGCGCCCAGCGCGCCACCTCCAACGTGTTCGCCATGTTCGGCCAGGCGCAAATCCAAGAGTTCAAAGAGGCCTTCAACATGATCGACCAGAACAGGGACGGCTTCATTGACAAAGAGGACCTGCACGATATGCTGGCCTCGCTCGGTACGTGGGCTCACTCGGAAGCGCGCCTCGGCCCAAACAGGCGGGCCCCTGGGATGTGATCGGCGAGGGCCCAGTTTGATTCAGGATGTGTCACACTTGTCGGTTTTTTCCCCACGTGTTTTCATTACGGAGTGCAGTGTGTTTGGTCGGTGATGATGTTCTCAGTTTTGTCAGACATATAGCGGACAGAGTGGTGGCTACTCACGCTGGAAGCTGACAACCATCCGTACAGATTGTCATGCCAGACGAGTTAACACTCTCTACGCTTTGAAGTCCTCTGGGTTCCTAAAATCAACGTTATCCGTAATGCAACACCACATAATGTTCGCGCCTGGTTACATCAGGATTTTAGGTAATTTTTTAAGGAAAAGATTCTTATCAGACATATTTGTGTTAGGATATTCCAGCACTTTCGTGTTACGGGCGATCTCTCTGTCACGCGACATTTTTCAATATGACCTTTGTCACGCATAATCTTTATCCCTGGGGGTATTTTGTCGCACGATATTTATCCCTTTTTACTTGCCGCTCAAGCTATCATTGACTACTGCCACATTTGTCCCACACGATGATTGTCTCGCGCGATATTTGCCGTACGAACCTCAGCCTGGCACGCCACCTTGCGCCCGGCGTCCGGGTGCGTCGGGATCGCGGTGCCGGTGTTGGCCTTCTCAGTGACCTGGGAGCGGCGCTCCATCCGCGGATCGGGGCTGAAGCTGTGCCGCACGCTGTCTCCGCGAGGCCCGCTCAGGCAGCGCGTGACCCTGCCGTCCCCGCTCCGGCAGGCAAGGACCCGACCGACGACTACCTGGAGGGCATGATGGGCGAGGCGCCCGGTCCCATCAACTTCACCATGTTCCTCACGCTGTTCGGCGAGCGGCTGCAGGGCACCGACCCCGAGGAGGTCATCAAGAACGCCTTCGGCTGCTTCGACGAGGACAACGCCGGCGTCATCTCGGAGGACCGGCTGCGCGAGCTGCTGACCACCATGGGCGACCGCTTCACCGACGATGAGGTCAGCTAGCCGGCCGGCCGCGCCTGTGGACGGGGCGGGAGGGCGCCAGCATGGTGGCTGTGGTGGGGCTGTACGTGCGGGTGTGTGTGATGTGTGTTGAGTTGGGGAGACTGCGTGGCAATGGGCGGGGGTCACTCACCGGCGCGTGCAGCTGGGATTAGTCCCTGCCGCAGACAGTCCCTGATGATACACGTGGCGTCATTGGTCGGAGCAATCCAAGCAGCGTGAAAACCCTGGTGCAGGAATTCAGTGAGGCGTTCTTGATTGGCAGATGCGCCAGCCAGGACGGCGCATCTGCCAATGAAAGATTGGCATCATTGCATCAGATGCGATCTTTGCACCAGATTGCATCGTGCTGATACAAGATCTTGCATTAAATACAAGATTAAAACCTTGTTGTCAACACAAGGTTTCGCGATCGCCGTCACATTCGGCGTCGCATGTGCGCAATGCAGCATCGAGTGGTCGTTTTGGTCTTAATCACGAAAACTGACCTTGTGCTTTCCATGTGGGAAAACTACAAGCATCGATGTATGAAAAAGCAAACTGGGGCTGACAGCAAAGCGAAGGTCCCCGTGTGCTGAAGGCCCACCAATTCATACTGGACCACGCACGTTAAAACGGTGGCGGGCTTTTCACAGAACTGTCTCCCATTGAACGTCCGTGCTGTGTCTCCAACGTCTTGTCCGTCCGACAGGTGGAGGACATGTACAAGGAGGCGCCGATCAAGGGCGGCATGTTCGACTACGTCGAGTTCACGCGCATCCTCAAGCACGGCGCCAAGGACAAGGATGAACAGTGATGGTGCTCGGCGGCGACAATCCCACCATTGCGCTGGGTCGTGCCGATACGATCGGCGCGTCAACCCCGGCCAAATCGGAAACGGGACTTCTCGGCGAGAGGATGGTCATGCGATCATAGCACTTTGTGCCAGCTATTTTTCCACGCGTTTTCGCCAGTTCGTGCGGTGTCTGATGCCTAAGTGATTGTTAGCAGCGTGCGGACTCCTTTTTTTGAGTCGACTTCGCGGTGGTAAGATCACATTCCTCTAATAGTGTATCACCAAATGCATACACCGTAATACGCCGTGCTTAATTTATCCAACGCAAGATGTGATAGTTGTAAGATGGCATCGTATTTAATACAAGGTTTTTCAACATGTCGGATTTGATAGCAAGCATGCAGTTACGAGCTGGAGGCAGGGAATTCGTCTCCATTCCAAACGGTGAAAAACGCCGTAGCACAACCTCTGCGCTTCAATCACGGATCTGGAAAGTACCAGGGGCCACGCATTTCTGGCAGAGCTTGCTCCTAAGAATGTGGGCCGCGACTGGGGAAGGTGGCCAATTACTTCGTAGAATACCCAAAATACCCCGATGTCAATCGAAGGCACATCTGCTGCGCTCTTCACGCCAAAGATGGCCCTACAAGGCCACTGGCGTGCGGAGGTCCATCAGACCTAAAGACGGACATCGGCGGAGCGTCAGCGTGAACCACGCTGTGCCAGGAGGCTGCAGCAGGCATGCGCTCCGTCAGCGCTGACGCGGCTCCGCCTGCAGCGGCGGCCGCGCGCCGGCCCGGCCTTATTTGACACAGCCGCACCCCCGGCGGCCCGACTCTCAGATATCCTTATATGGTAGTGCGTTCGGGGCTGGCGAGGAGGTCGCGGTTCTTACACACCGTACAGCCTCACGACGACGTACAGTCTCCAGTGTGCTATCGATATATAGTGCTGTCCCATGGAAGGCGGGAAAATTATATTGGTAAAGACAACCAAAAAATCTTCTCAGGGTTAATCAGGCCAAATGCATTGTGAGGAAATTATTTTTAACATTGTTCAGCGTTAAAATTAACGGGGTATGCTACAACTTTCTTAAATGGTAGCCCAGCTAGTGTTAAATGTTGATACAAGTACTTGGTTAACGTCCATCTCTACATACTGGCAGACAGAAACGGCGCTGTGATTTCAAAATAACCGCGCAGCAGAAAGCCTCCCGGACATCCTCTGTAGTCCAACTCCCATTCCTCGACCCTTTTGGGGCGGCCCTATACCTAATATAATCTTTCTGTCGACAAATATGGGGGAATATGGGGGATGTCATCGCTCTTCATTCATATGCCATGGCTGTTGTGCTAGATATGCACCTAGAGGCTGTTTCCCACTGGTGCATAATCTTGCCTTTTCGACTCATGGATGTCATTCGGCAAATAACGCTTTCCAGCTCCCCAAGATTATTCGTTCATTTCAACATTGTGTTCCCTGGGGAGGCGAAAGTTCACGGGCGCGTAGTTATGTTGGGTCATTGAAGAGGCGTCTTCCCCCACACGGTAATCCCAAAATACGGCCTGGACATAGGCTGGTGAGAATTTTGAAAGTGAATCGAAGGCTCACAATGTGACAGATTTTTCATGCACCTTGACTTCGCTGGTTGTCTTTCAGGAGATAAGGACTTGTCGCAGCATTTTGGGCAGAAACAAATTCGGAAGCTTGAAACCGCTCAAAACAATGTGACAAAAGCGATACAACTAGAGATTCTCCTCTAAAAACCAGGCCACAAAATGCAAGCCCTTCTGTCATATATTCCTTGTCTGGGCCCTGTTCCGGTCCGCTGTCGGCGGCCAATGCCTTGGCCCGGATGTCCGTGAAGTTAGCGGTTTTGTAAAGCATATGTTGGACACCTGCAACAGTATTTTTTTCCGAATTATCTTCCCTTACACCACACCACACCACACCACACCAGAAAAAAACCTCCGGGAAGCTGCCCGCCGTAGGTAAGAATTGGCCCAACGGACATTTAATTCCCCATCATTCAACGTAGGCGATTTTATCTGTTTTTTGTGTAAGCAGGGGTGTAGCCAGAGCCTTGCTATGAGGGAACACAGGGTTGACAAAAGTCCCTCTTATGATACCTACCCCGTCCCCCAAAAAATCCCTGGATATAGCTTACTTGTTAACAAGGGATACGGTTTTCAATTCTGCTTGTACTTTGCAGCCAATAAACTGCAGAAATCAGGCCTTGAACGACCGCATGGAATAAGTCACCAGTGCCCTTATCTACAATGGCTTAAGGGACTCTTTATGAACCGAGTTCAGAAGCTTTGCAAGAATGTGTCATCTGGTTTCTACAGACATTAAGGACACCGCGAAGCTAAATTGTAGATCGATTAGTTTGATCGAATTTGAAGATGAAAATTTGATTGCAGATCGAGTGGTCAACGTTTTGTGTTAACATGGCCAAGCCATGTTTGTCTGGAAATGTTTTTTGACATTCAGTGAGAATCGATAAGTGATGCAAGTTGTGTAACGCGGCTTTTTAACATGGGTGCTCGCAAACCTTAGTGACAAAAACCCAGGCAACAGGCTTTGCAGTCTCGATAGTCCGCTGAGCCTAAGCCTAATGGCTAATTTTTTCACCGTGGCCCACCGCTCGACGAAAATTACGACACTTCTGAAATAATGCCTTTAAACACGTAAATCGATTAGTAATACAAGCTAAAAAACGTAATTTTGAGCATGCGCACTCGAAAATCTTAGTAACAAAAACGTCAACTCCAGACGTTGCAGTTTCCGTAGGCCGCGCAGCGTAGGCCCAGCTGCTAGCACTGCGTCGTGGTCAACGGGTGGGCGAAAACGATGACGCTTTTGAAAAAAGTACCTTTGGACGCTTCAGGACACCAAACCTTACATTTAGTAGGTAGCCTGGGTGCATATTTCACATGTGCCGTTTTTTAGACTGATGATAAGAACGGGTTGGCCGTTAAATCAACGTGAAGTGGTGTTGGAATCAGGCGGTGGAACTGGAAGAGAGAAGGCAGAATCTCGGAAGACGGATTAACACGGCGCCCGCTGTCTGGTGGCACTTGCAGAGGCCGAGGTTGTTCGGTTTTACGGAAGCTGCAACCCAGGCCATCGCTGTCCTTACTCTCGAGGTTGCGGGCGGGCATGTCCAAACCTTTTGATAACACTTTCAGTAATCCATTGCAAAAAATGAACGTCCTCAGGCAAGTATGGAATGGCCTTTTTTGTTTTTAATTCATTTCGACCCACTATGTTCAACAATAATGAAATCCCACTCTTCTCAACAGTAATGAGACCCCTTATTTCCTTTTGGGCGAGGGGCCCCCTCAGCAGAACACCAGGCGCACATTACTGGCTCCTTTACTGGTTCGCACATTACTGTTCAAGGGCTGAATGGCCACACCGTCCAATCGCAAAGCGTCTTCTGGCTGTCATTCTGGCGACACGGGGTGGGATCTCCTGGTCGATCCGGAGGCCATTAGAGTATATATCATATCACAGTGTTCTCCTCTCTGACACGGGAGGCCTTCCGACCCGCACGATTGACCCCGGATCAGCACAGAAACCCTCATTGACGCGACAACATCCCTGATCGCCGCAGGTGGTCCAATAATTGCCGCATATACTCCAGTTCCATGCTTTTCTGTGTTTTTCTGAGATTTTGAGGACTCCCGAAACGTAGATCATAGATGAAATGGGGTCCAAATTTATTTTAACATAGCTAATCCGTGTTCTTCTTAAAAGGTTAAAGATTTAGTACCCGTCATGTGGAACTATACACAACAGCGCAAACCGTGTTCCGACACGTTGCGTCACGAAAAGCAATCGGCGTGGCGGGAGTTCGCTTTGACGTGCAGCCGCTCTATGTCTTTAAGTAGAACTTGGGAACAGTAGTAGAACTTGGGAACATGTAGAACTTTAGAAGTTTTAGAACTTAAGAAGTTCTTTTAGTAGAACTTGGGAACATGTTCATTCGTTCGCCTCTTGCCGGGGTTATTTATTGTTTTCATTTGCTCGTAGTGTCATGCTTACTAGCATGTCTGCTGATATGTATTCTGCAACATTTAAGGACTCTGAACATCGGCATAATGATATGCACTAAAGAAGCACAATAATTTTCATATGATCCAAAGCTTAGTTCGTCAAGAATTGTCCCCATCTATTCGCTGAGGTTTTCAGATGGTTGGTACTGGCCGCTCGCCTCCTTGTTGCTTACATCTCTACGGAGACCTCCAGCAGCGCTCTCAAGAACCTCGTCCAGCACGCGATTGGCCACTGTGTGCCGGTGTGGTTTGCCTTCCGGCAGAACAGCAGCTGCGACTTAGGCTCACGCAACTTCTTCCGGAGCATCGTGCTGCTCCGTGAGCTGCCGCGGCGCACACAGGCCAACGTATAACCATTCCTCCAGCGCAACGGGTACTGCCCCCCTCCCCCCCTCCCCCCCCCCGGAACAGCTGCTACTGAACATGGTAGGGGACGAGAACCGTGTGGCCCGCGGACAGGCGGTTTAGGTTATCGCGCCGCGCGTGAGCAGCAGACCGAGGGTTTTCTTCAGCCCAGGGTCTTCGCCATCCCAGTGGTAAACTGTGAGGCCGTGAGGGCACCGTACTGATCTCCTGGCGCAGACCAGTCACACGGCCTCCACTGCGAGACCTCAGCGACGGCGAGCTGCGGGACAAGGTGCAGGCTCCGCTGGCCATCCTGCTCTGTCCAGCTCACACCGCAGTGCGCACCGTCACCGGGGCGTGTTCGGCGCAGATGGGGCAGAGGCGCGATATGGCCTCACCATGGCCAAGTTCGGGCAGCGCCAGATTTTACCAAGCGTCAGCTCTGAGAAAGATCTGCTGAAGGTGAGCTGGAAAATGTTAACTAATCATATCCGTTTCGACTTCCGTTTCTACGTCAATCTATCATACAATCGTTGGAATCTTTATCTATCTTGATTTCTAAGTTGATCAATGCGCAAATTGAAAATGCATGCGTCATTTTGGAACGCACTGTGTCTTCTTTCGGCAATCACAGGATTTTTGTGCTGCTATCACATCCCGTTTAAATGCGTCTGGCGCAGGTGGTTGTAGGGGCAGGTCACGGTAAGGCAGCCGCCGCTGCCGCCGCCGCCGCACCACGCAGTCCGGCCGCTGTCCGAATGCAGAACGGTCCTCTGAAAGGGGGAGACCGGAGAGCGGACCGCTTGACCAGCACTCGGCGCTCCCCCAGGCAGCGCATGCTATGTATCTGCCCTCTGGTTCAGCAGCACTGTGGCAGGAAAGTTCGAGACGTGTAGCCCACAGAATGGGGAAGGCAGCGCCGCGTGTCCACAAGCATGACAGCGGCTAGTGCAGCAGTGCCCGGATACGCGC